TTGTTTAGAAGAGTAAATAATAAAAAATAATCAAGTATAGACTCTTTCAACCAGATATTAAATAAAATATTGTAGACTAGCCCTGGGCCAGACAGATAAAGGCAATGGAAGTTTAGAACCAGAACCATGCAAATGAGAATTTAATATAAGGAAAAGGTGATATTTTACCTTCATAGTGAAAAGATAGATTATTCTGTAAATAGTTTTAGGAGAACTTGCCATTTGTGGAAGTTTGAGTCTTAACTTCAGTTTTTGTCAAAATAAGTTATAGTTAGTTTAAACACATCTATTCTTAAAAATTAGAAGAGAAGAACTTCAGTTCGATGATATTTTAAGAGTTAAGGCTGAGGCTGGGCACAGTGGTTCATGCCTGTAATCCCAGCACTTTTCGAGGCCAAGATGGGAGGATTGCTTGAGCCCAGGAGTTCGAGATCAGCCTGAGCAACATAGCAAGACTCTCTCTCTCTCCCTCTCTCTAGATATAGATATACATATAAATATACATATACTAGTACAAAAAAGAGTTAAGGTTTGTATGGAGAGCCATGAAGATAAGAGGTAAAAATTAAAGGTTTGATGGACACATGTTTACATCTCCAGCAAGGGGGTTGATGGGAAAGAATGATAGACATAGATAGCTCCATTACTGCTACCTCCTTTTAGGGAGTTGCTTCTGAACATCTAAAGATAACAGTTTTTTAAGAGCAGAAATGAGTTATTTTTCAGTGTCTAAAACATTACATAACATACATACATACATAAACATGTTCATAAAGTTAAATGAAGTAGGATATAAAATGGGGCCTAGTGTTTAAAAAATAAATATATTTACATGAAGGAGAAAACAACTCACCTCACACTCTTACAGTCTCTGCCGGTTTATCATAGCGTAGTTTATTGAGAGAATAAGCTACATGTCTTCACCTTTTCTCATTGAGCTCATTATAATCTGGATTCTGTCTTCATCGTTGCGCTAAAATTTACCTCTTAGTTGCCAAATCCAGTGGCTCCCCTCTTAGTCCCCAAATTGACCCCTCTGTAGTATTTTGATACTGTTGATTGTTCCCTTGTTGAAACATTCCTCCATTCTTGATGTCCACCAATAAAGAGCTGGTTAAATAAAAATTATAGTGTAGTTTTATAATAGAATATTCTGTTGTAGACCAAAAAATGCAGGCAGTCTTTCCATAAGAGCATGTGCAAACTTCTAAGATACACTAAGTAAAAAAGTGAGGCATAAAATATTGTGTATCATCTGACCTCTTTAGTATACAGTGTAAAAAATCTATGTCTGTGCTTGTTTATACTTACTTTTTTCTCCCCTGGTGGATACAGAAAACTGAATAGTAGAACACAATTTAAAAAAGCTGTGTGGCTTCTGTGCCAGGACCTGTGATAATTGAGTATAAAAGATAAAAAGGCATGTCCATGTCCTCTGGGAAGGGACATGATAATTGAATGGGACTTCTATCGGATTCTTTTCTCCTGTTTTGATCTTATCACCCGCCTTGGTCTCCTCCAATCTATTCTTCCTTGGCCTACTTCTTTCTTCTCTTTTCATTCTGTGTTTTCTCTGAGTAATCTTTGACTCCCATTACTTAAGTCATGACCTGTGTTCCAGGGATTCCTAAATCTGTATTCATCTCCAGAGTTTCAAGCCCATATATCTGTCTGTATATCATATATGTTAGGGAATCTCACTTGGAGTAACATGGGTGTTCAAAATGATGATATTTAAATCTTCATGTATCCACCTGTTAGCACTGTATCAGTCCCATCATGTGTTCCATCAATAATTATCCTTGTCCTTGTGGGTGGGACAAAATGAAATAATCAAACTAGTCACCCATGCGCAAACCTGGGAACTGCTAGCATTGTTTTATATACTACTGCTCTCTGACTGCCCCCCTCCCCCTGAAACTAGTAAATTTCTAAGACCCTGTCCTTCTGAATGTCTCTTACTATTTTCCCTGTGATCTCAGTTTCTTCCTCCCATCCCTCAAATGCTTTTTGTGTGTGTGCGGTGGGGGAGGAGAGTAAAATTGAAATTCATGGAACATGTACTACCCTGTCTTTCTTTGTTTCATTCTTTTTTTCCTTTTTTTTTTTTTTTCTTTTGAGATGAAGTCTCACTCTTGTCCCCCAGGCTGGAGTGCAATGGTGCAATCTTAGCTCACTGCAACCTCCACCTCCTGGGTTCAAGCGATTCCCTGCCTTAGCCTCCTGAGTAGCTGGGATTACAGGCACCTGCCACCATGCCCAGCCAATTTTTGTATTTTTTAATAGAGATGAGGTTTCATCATGTTGGCCAGGCTGGTCTCAAACTCCTGACCTCAGGTGATCCTCCCGCCTCAGCCTCCAATATTGCTGGCATTACAGGTGTGAGCCACCGTGCCCGGCCACTACCCTGCCTTTCTTGTTGCTTGGTATGACTCCACTACCCTGCTGCCTCTCTCCCCCTGCAGCGGGATAATTTAGGAATCAGAGAGACTGAGGGGTTGAGGAGGATATATATTATTATTTAGGTGCCCTGGCCCAGTCAGATTAACATCTAAAGGACTGAGCGCTGAACAAAGAGTCAGGTTACCTTTTAAGCATTTTGTGGGGTAAGGGGAGATCTGCGCAGGGAGAAGCATATTACAGAAGCAAGAAACAAAGACAGTTATTCAATTGAGACATGCATTACATTGTTTCTTACTTTTCAAAGAAAAACCTATTTTATGACTTGAGTTTATCTGTCTAGTGACCTTGCAGCTGCACAGCTAGAGAAACAGGGCCTTCACAATGTCTGGGAAAGGAGGAGAGATAAGGCTCACTTGCCTCAGAAAAACAAGCAGTTAATTTTTAAAGGACTCCACCTCTTTTTCTTTTCTAGGGGGAATTGGTTTTTTTTTTTTTTTTTTTTTTTACATACAGCTGAGTTTTTGCTTACACTTTTTTTTTTTTAATTACACTTTAAGTTCTAGGGTACATGTGCATAATGTGCAGTTTTGTCACATATGTATACATGTACCATGTTGGTGTGCTGCACCCATTAACTTGTCATTTACATTAGGTATATCTCCTAATGCTATCCCTCCCCACTGCCCCACCCTACAACAGGCCCCGGTGTGTGATGTTCCCCATCCTGTGTCCAAGTGTTCTCATTGTTCAATTCCCACCTATGAGTGAGAATATGCGGTGTTTGGTTTTCTGTCGTTGTGATAGTTTGCTGAGAATGATGGTTTCCAGCTGCATCCATGTCCCTACAAAGGACATGAACTCATCCTTTTTATGGCTGCATAGTATTCCATGGTGTATATGTGCCACAATTTCTTAATCCAGTCTATCATTGATGGACATTTGGGTTGGTTCCAAGTCTTTGCTATTGTGAATAGTGCCACAATAAACATACGTGTGCATGTGTCTTTATAGCATCATGATTTATAATCCTTTGGGTATATACCCAGTAATGGGATGGCTGGGTCAAATGGTATTTCTAGTTCTAGATTATTGAGGAATCGCCACACTGTCTTCCACAATAGTTGAACGAGCTTACAGTCCCACCAACAGTGTAAAAGTGTTCCTATTTCTCAACAACCTATCCAGCACCTGTTGTTTCCTGACTTTTTTATGATCACCCTTCTAACTGGTGTGAGATGGTATCTCATTGTGGTTTTGATTTGCGTTTCTCTGATGAGCATTTTTTCATGTGTCTGTTTACTGCATAAATGTCTTCTTTTGAGAAATGTCTGTTCATATCCTTCACCCCTTTTTGATGGGGTTGTTTGATTTTTTCTTGTAAATTTAAGTTCTTTGTAGATTCTGGATATTAGCCCTTTGTCAGATGAGTAGATTGCAAAAATTTCTCCCATTCTGTAGGTTGCCTGTTCACTCTGATGGCAGTTTCACATTCTTTAATTTCTTTTTTTTTTTTTTTTTTTTTGAGACAGAGTCTCACTCTGTCGACCCGGCTGGAGTGCAGTGGCTGGATCTCAGCTCACTGCAAGCTCCGCCTCCCGGGTTTACGCCATTCTCCTGCCTCAGCCTCCCGAGTAGCTGGGACTATAGGCGCCTGCCACCTCGCCCGCCTAGTTTTTTTTTTTTTTTTTTTTTTTTTTTTTTTTGTATTTTTTAGTAGAGACGGGGTTTCACCGTATTAGCCAGGATGGTCTCGATCTCCTGACCTCGTGATCCACCCGTCTTGGCCTCCCAACGTGCTGGGATTACAGGTGTGAGCCACCGCGCCCGGCCCTTTAATTTCTTTTAATTCCTGTTTCACTCCAGCCCTCCTGTAGTCCCTTCTGTGCTAGAGGTCAGAGTGTCCTGTCCAGGTCTGTGTCCAGATCGCCGTGCCTCATCTTCATTATGTACTTAGCACAAAGCAGAGCACATTGGGTGCATAACAAATCCACACTGGGGCTTGGCTTCCTTTTTTTTTTTTTTTTTTTTTTTTTTGAGACGGAGTCTTGCTCTGTGCCCCAGGCTGGAGTGCAGTGGCGCGATCTCGGCTCACTGCAAGCTCCGCCTCCCGGGTTCACGCCATTCTCCTGCCTCAGCCTCCCGAGTAGCTGGGACTACAGGCGCCTGCCACCACGCCCGGCTAATTTTCTTGTATTTTTAGTAGAGACGGGGTTTCACTGTGTTAGCCAGGATGGTCTCGATCTCCTGACCTCGTGATCCGCCCGCCTCGGCCTCCCAAAGTGCTGGGATTACAGGCTTGAGCCACCGCGCCCAGCCGGCTTCCTTTTACGCATGAGGATTTTTGGTGGATCCTAATTTATGGTTCAACCTTCCTGTTTCCACCTTCTTCATTGATCACTTTGGGAAGGCTTATTCTTTGCTTCGTTAACCCATTCTAATCCTGTGTCTTCTTTCTTTGTCCTTTGTAAACCTGCTTCTTTCTCTTCATCTCTTTTCTTGGTCAGAGACACCCAGAAAATTGTTCCCGACCAAGTGAAGTGAGTTGCCTTATTGGATCCCATTTGAGTTACCTTATACATTGGAAAACATTTTAAACAATGAAAACCACACTTGTGCACATAGTTTACCTTGCTTACTTCCTTAAAGTAAATGTGCTTACAACACAATTTGGACTTAAACATGGAAATTTACAGTTATTCTTTGCAGTTTCCTAGTGAATTATTATTTTTTACACAGACACTTAAGAGCCTACTAAGTATCAAGTGTTTTGCAGGTTTATTTGATCTTTACCATTCTGGGAAAGTTTTCATTTCTTTGTTTTACAGATGAGTAAACTCAAACTCAGGGAATTAGATGTGATATCCAAGGTCATCTAGATTTCCAGGCTCTGTCTGCTGGATCACATTTGCTTTTGTAGTTTTAACTGACTGTGATTGGAATATATAATTGTATAAGCCATGTGTAAACAACACTGCCTGTGTGTTTTTTTCTTCTTTTTTTCTTTTTTGGTAGCCTCATTAATGCATTAATGTTCTCTTGTTTGAAGTTGTAAGTTTCTAAGAAAACAAGGTAGCAACGAGAAATTGGACAATGTCTGGAACTTCCTTCCTCTGCCTATATTGTTGTCATTCCACTAGTTATCAGTTTTAGTGATTATACCCCAAGCCATAGTAACATGCTTAAAATAGAGACTCCTGAAAATATTTTAAAGAGCTTTTTTTATATCTGTAAGCTACAGTTGAGCAGTAACAAACTTTTTTATTTCCTTCTGGATTGATTACAGTAGTCATAACATTATTGATGTCCTCTAAGGGCTCTTTAACATAATGCTTATTTACTGAAATGTGTTTTACAGCTTCATCAGCAACTGAAGTGCTGGATATGTGGACTCTGCAGATTAGATAACCTTCCTAAGCACCTGGATGTTGAGATGCCAGATCAACCACTACCCATGGGTCAGGTAAAGTAAAAATTCTCCAGTGTTCAAGAGCTAAAATAAATTGTCTCAAACAAAAGTCAAACTAGGATGATTTTTTTTATTATTATTCAAGTCATTTAGAAGTTAGTTTTTCTGTTCCTATTGAATTGTTTTGTTTGTTCTGTTTTAGATACTAAAAATAACCTTTTCATTCTTTGGAGCTGCTAGCATTTAGTATGACAGGTAAAAAAAATTGCCCTTTTCCCTAACACCAGCTTTTTGTTGTTAATATTCCTGGTGTCCATAAATGTTCTTGCTTCTTTCATTGTTTGTCTTTGCTCATTGAATTACCTTCACCTAGAAATGCTGTCTCCTTAAGTCTGTCTCTGCTTCTTAAGGACTCACCCACGTGTTATCTCCTGCAAGCAACAGAAATCTCCACTAGGTCACCACTACCCCTAACTTCTTCCTGGATTTACCTATTTAGGCCTCTGTTGTTGACTTTTTAGTATAATACATGAGAATTTAGCTCTTATACCACCCACTTTCCCTTCCCCAAATATTATCTTTAGTCATGTAAGTAATCACTAATTGCCATTAGGACTTTGTAAAGCCAAGTTTTCTAGAATATTTAGGATAGGATATTTGTTTTCTTGATGGTGTTTTTAGTTTTGCAGCGTCTTCCTCTTAATAGTACTTTTTAATTTAAAAAATTCTGTTGTAGCCCTTCCTGTGAGAGCTCCTTCTCTTCCAAAGCCTTTGGCTCCTCTGTGCCCATTTTGGCAGGTCGTTCTTTGGGTTGGCTGTGCAGATGCCACCTTGAGGTTTTTCTCATCTGTTCTCCTAGACTAGATCCATAGTTTCCTGGATCCCATGTCATCTTTCTTGGCTTTCCCTTTGTCATTTTACCTGACTGTGTCCTCAAGTAAAACCCTAAGAAAGCATGGAGTGGTATATTTTCTGATCTCTAGCTTCTGAAAAAATACAATCCATACTGTTTTCCATAATGGTTGAACTAGTTTACAATCCCACCAACAGTGTAAAAGTGTTCCTATTTCTCCACATCCTCTCCAGCACCTGTTGTTTCCTGACTTTTGAATGATCGCCATTCTAACTGGTGTGAGATGGTATCTCATTGTGGTTTTGATTTGCATTTCTCTGATGGCCAGTGATGATGAGCATTTTTTCATGTGTCTGTTGGCTGTATGAATGTCTTCTTTTGAGAAATGTCTGTTCATATCCTTTGCCCACTTTTTGATGGGGTTGTTTGTTTTTTTCTTGTAAATTTGTTTGAGTTCTTTGTAGGTTCTGGATATTAGCCCTTTGTCAGATGAGTAGATTGCAAAAATTTTCTCCCATTCTGTAGGTTGCCTGTTCACTCTGATGGTAGTTTCTTTTGCTGTGCAGAAGCTCTTTAGTTTGATGAGATCCCATTTGTCAATTTTTGCTTTTGCTGCTGTTGCTTTTGGTGTTTTAGACATGAAGTCTTTGCCCATGCCTATGTCCTGAAAGGACCTAGAACTAGATGTACCATATGACCCAGCCATCCCATTACTGGGTATATACCCAAAGGATTATAAATTATGCTGCTATAAAGACACATGCACACATATGTTTATCGCAGCACTATTCACAATAGCAAAGACTTGGAATCAACCCAAGTGTCCATCAGTGACAGATTGGATTAAGAAAATGTGGCACATATACACCATGGAATACTATGCAGCCATAAAAAAGGATGAGTTTGTGTCCTTTGTAGGGACATGGATGCAGCTGGAAACCATCATTCTCAGCAAACTATCACAAGAACAGAAAACCAAACACCGCATGTTCTCACTCATAGGTGGGAACTGAACAATGAGATCACTTGGACTCGGGAAGGGGAACATCACACACCGGGGCCTATCATGGGGAGGGGGGAGGGGGGAGGGATTGCATTGGGAGTTATACCTGATGTAAATGACGAGTTGATGGGTGCAGCACACCAACATGGCACAAGTATACATATGTAACAAACCTGCACGTTATGCACATGTACCCTACAACTTAAAGTATAATAATAATAAATAAATTAAAAAAAAAAATACAATCCAGTGTTTGGGTTATGGAGCCAGTCTGAGATAGGTTTGAATCTTGGTTCTACTACTTATTACCTGTATGCCCTTGGGCTGATTCCCTAAGTGCTCTATGCATCAATTTTCCATTTGCAAAATGGGGGAGCCAGCAATAGTATTAGTACCTATGTTTCTAGGGCGCTATGAGGATTAAATGAGTTGGTACGTGTAAACCATTTAGAAGAGTGCCTGGTGCATAGCACATCCCCATCACAATTCACTTTTGTCATAATCTACCCTCACACTTGATTGATAGTTTGGTTGATTATGTATTTCTAAGTTGAGGATAATTTTACCTTAGAATTTCAAAGTCTGTGCTGTTGTCTTCTAACCCGTTGTGGTGGTGGAACCTCATGTCATCCTGAGTTTCACTCATTTATGCATGACTTTCTGGAAGCTTTTAGGAGTTTGTCTTTCCCTTGGTGAGCTGAAATAGCACAACATTGTATTTAGTGTGGGTCTTTTTTTCATTCATTGTGCTGGGTACACCAAATGGATAGGCCTATGGATGGGGTCTTTCAAAGATGGAATCTTGAATCTTGTCATATTTTTGTTAACTTTCTCTTTTCCATTTTATTTGTTTGTTTTGAAATGTCTGTTAATTGGATTTTAGTCCTCTTGTCTTGAGTCTTGTATCTCACATTATTTCTAATTCTTTTTTAAATTTTAAGTTCTGGAATATTTTTCTTATCTTTTGACTTTTAGGAAATTGTATTTGGGTAGTCATAAATTTAAGTTTTGTTTTGGTTATTTATTGTTGCTTAACTAATTTTCCCAACACTTAATGGCATAAAATCACATATTTGTCTATCTGTCAGTACCAGGTGGGTTAACTGGGGATAGCTGGACAGTTTTTCTGCTGGTCTCATTTGGCATCTCTCACTGTGTGGTTAGACGGTGTCAGGGACTGGTCATCTGGATGCTCAGCTGCAGTGGAGTGTCTGAGACAGCTTCTTCACCCACAGGTCTGCTGTCTTGGCGTTTCTTCATGTGGCCTTCCTCTCTGCATAGTATCTCATCCTCTCGGGCCTCTTCATGTGGCTTGTCTTTCTCCAAGAGGATAGCCAATTGTTATTTTTGGCTTCCAGAAGCACAGAAGCGGAGCTGGCAGGTGTTCTTAAGGCTTAGACCTGGAAAGGTCCAGTGTCATTTCTACCAAATTCTGTAGGTTAAAGTGAGTCTTGGGGCCAACCCAGATTCACTGTGGGATGGGCCTGTTCAAGGACATGGTGACAGGAGGTGTGGCTCATTGGGGATCAACTCCCAAGATGAACCCTGAGTTCTAAGAACTTTTTCTTCTCTGATTATTCCTTATTCATATTCTATTTTGTTTTATTCATCTAATACGTTCACAAGTGTCTTTATGAAGTGATTTTGATACTCTTTTGCCTGCTCCCTAGCGTCTCTTTGTTCTTTAATAAATTTTTTTCTTAGTTTACTTTGGTCTTATTTTACTTTTTAAGGTCTTTCCTTAAATACCTATTCTATGTTGTTTATCATTTGTAGTCTTTTTTTTTTTTTTTTTTTTTTTTGAGATGGAGTTTCACTCTTGTTTCCCAGCCTGGAGTGCAATGGCATGATCTTGACTCGCCGCAATCTTTAGCTCCTGGGTTCAAGCGATTCTCCTGCCTCAGCCTCATAAGTAGCTGAGATTATAGGCGTGTGCCACCAAGCCCGGCTAATTTTTGTATTTGTTTCTCCATGTTGGTCAGGCTGGTTTTGAATTCCTGACCTCAGGGGCTCTGCCCAAGTCAGCCTCCCAAATTGCTGGGATTAAAGTCATGAACCACTGTGCTGGCCTGTATTCTCTTTTCTTTAAATTCCCCTTTTTGTTTATTCATATATGAGAGAAGTACTAAAAGACTGGGACGCTGGGTGTGGTGGCTCACACCTACAATCTCAGTGCTTTGGGAGACTGATGTGGGAGGATCACTTGAGCCAGGAACTCAAGACTAATTTAGGCAACATCATGAGACCCCATCTTTATGAAAATAAATTAAAAAAATAGCCAGGTGTGGTGATACCCACCTGTAGGCCCAGCTACTTGGGAGGCTGAGGCAGGAGGATCTCTGGAGCCCAGGATGTTGAGGCTGAAGTGAGCTGTGATCATTCCACTGCATTCCTGCATCCCAGCCTAGGTGAAAGAGCAAGACCCTGCCTCAATCAATCAATCAATCAATCAATCAATAAAAATACAAATAAAAAATAAAAACAAAAAATTGATTGGGAGTTCTTCATGGCCAAGACTTGGCAACCGATAGCTTTTAGGGGGAATGTATGCTGATTCCCAATTGTTATCCTCTAACCCTCTATCTTATTTCCTGGTGCAATCATAAATGATGGCTGGAACCTCCACTTTTGTTTGCTTTGCTCCATTAATTAACCATTTTCCATTTACTGTCATTGTCTAATGAAGGTGAATTCTCTTCTGTTGGTAATCCTATTTCTTTTTTTGTAATTGTGTGTTTATATGTTTCTTCTTCACTGTATTTCTAGTGGAGCCTTAGGACAAAGAGCAGATGGTGGAAATACGTGTTCAGTGTTCAGTTTTTTCTGTAAGACTTCTGCAACTTGTGTTTTTCACTGAATAGCACACGGACTTAATGCATATAGAGCTACCTTGTTTTTCCTGATTGTGCCTACAATTCTATGGAGAAATATAATTTGTGAATTACCTGATGACATTTTCCTGATTTTGAATCATCATCACATTCCTGTAAAAACACTGTTAGAACGGCTATAGTAATATTTTATTTTTGCATTTTTACTTCTGTATTAAAGAAGATTAAAGTTTTGTTTGTTTCCTTTAAGGCTCTTATTTCATTCCAGTATCAAGGGTGTGCAGGGCTAACTTGGGAAGCTTTACATCTTTTTTCTAAGACTTAGGATGTAAATCTAGTTTACACAGTAATTTTTGCCTACAGGAATATTTTGCCTCCCATGGGATGTTTGGAAATATCTGGAGACATTATTGTGGTCACAACTGGCCATGGTCGGGAGGTCTTATTGGCATTCCATGGGTAGAGGGGATGTTATTAAATGTCCCACAACACACCAGGAGAAGCCTCCACAAAGAATTGTCTGGCCCAATATATCAATATTGCTGAGGCTGACAAACCCTGGTTTAAATAAATGTCCAATTTGGAAGATGAGTCTTTGTCTTTTTCCTTCTTCTCGCTTAAACCCGGGAGGTGGAGGTTGCAGTGAGCCAAGAGTGTGCCACTGCACTCCAGTCTGGGTGACAAAGGTGAAACTGTCTCAAAAAAAAAAAAAAAAATCATAAATATCTTCAGTTTTGAACATTTGAGTAATTCTCTAATCTCCTTTGTAAGTAACTACTAATGTGGAATAATTGAAAAACATTGTATTTGGAATGGAATGGAATTTATAAATTCTGGGTTTACCTCTAACTCATGATATGCCTTTGAGCAAATTGTTTTATGTGAATTCTTGGATTTGGTATTCTGGAAAACAAAAGCTCTTAACTTTTAGCACTAAAATTATATTTAATACTAATCAGTACTTAACCTGTATGTGGTTATTTTTTGGAAGAGAAACTACTGAGTTTTAAAAATTTTTATGTTTGCATAAAAGGAGAATTTGAGAATATTTTAGGGACTACTTGCTGGAGGTAGTGAAACTGTCTCATTGAAAAATCATTCAAAGACATTTGTCTTAGTCTGTTTTATAGTGTTGTAACAGAATAACAGAGAGTGAGTAATTTATAAAGAACAGTCATTTATTTTCTGACAGTTCTGGAGTCTGGGAAATCCAAGATGAAATATCAACATTTGGTGTCTCAGGGCCTTTTCATTGCATCCTCACATGGTAGCAGGCAGAAGGGCAGGAGAGCAAGTTAGTCCAATGTGTGAGGCCTCATTCATAAGGGCCTTAATCCCATGAAGGAGGAAGGAGCCCTCTTGGCCTAATGACCTCTTAAAAGTCCTACCTGTTAATATCATCACGCTGACAACATGAACAGATGAATTTTGGAGGGAATACATTCCAACAGTAGCAAATTTAGTAGAGCAAATTCCAAAGACATTGAGCTTAGGCCAGCTGTCAGTCATGGGTGTAATTTTAGATGTTTTCAGGCTCTGAAGCTTTGCATTTAAATTTAAACTTCGGAACAAAGATCTATATCTCTGCATTGACCAAATAGAATGTATGTGAATTCCATGGTCTTGATTGTTATAAAAGATTTTTTTCTGTTTGGGGTCTTATAATTAATTTAGGCTTTCATTTTCCTGGTTTGGAATTTATTAATCTAAAATATACTTTAGAGGGCTTCAGAACTAAAGAAGTAGTGTTGTAAGCTTGTTTTTGTTTGTTTTTTGAGACAGAGTCTTATGTCACTCAGGATGGAGTGCAGTAGCATGGTCATGTAACCTTGAACTCCTGGGTTCAAGCAATCCTCCTGAGTAGCTGGGACTATAGGCCGGTGCCCGACATGACAGAGTGAGACTCTATATTTAAACAAAATAAATTAAATAAAAAGTAAATAAATAAATGATGTCTTATTTCATAATAGTTGTGACTTTGTAAAGCTTTTAAATCTGCTTTACCCAGGGTCTAACTTTTAAATAAAATACAGGATGTAAAAGGTGGGAGCCTCTTGAATGGAATGTAAGGGCTTTATCTCTCTCCCCATAGGATAGATATACTCTGTTTCTTGTCCCCCATTGAGTCAATAATTTTGGCATAAGAAACTGCTGAAGATAATAGGTTGAATAAGCTAATATTTTTCTTCTTTTTGCAGGATATAGAAGACTTAGATCATTATGAGATGAAAGAAGAGCCTATTAGTGGGAAAATGTTGGAGGATGAAGGAACTGAAAACAAAAATTGGGCAATATTAGAGAAAATTAGGAAGACTGAAAAGTAAGACCATTTAAATGTGTAAGTGTGTATAAATATCTGAAGCTTGGACTTTTTGGTCAAGTAATTATAGTTAACATAAGGCAATTCATGAACTTGCTGATCTCAGCTGCTCTCCTCCTCCATTCCTGCTTTAGTGGTAGATTCAGTCATTTGTTTATTGGTTTTGAGACAGGGTCTTGCTCTGTCACCTGGGCTAGGGTGCGGTGGCACAATCATAGTTCACTGTAGTCTTTATCTCCCAGGCTCCAGTGGTCCTCCTGCCTCCAGTGGTCCTCCTGCCTCCAGTGGTCCTCCTGCCTCAGCCTCCCAAGTGCCTCAGACTATAGGCATGTGGCACCGCACCACTTTTTGATTTTTAGTAGAGATGAGGTCTCACTGTGTTGACCATGCTGGTCTTGAACACCTGAATTCAAGCAGTCCTCTTACCTTGGCCTGCCCAAGTGCTGGGATTACAGACATGAGCCACCATGCCCAGCCACACTCATATGCTTTGCTGCCCAGGGTTATCTTTCCCATCTATGAATAGCCACTTTTTATCCTGTTCATCTGCTCTTCACATCCTGAACCACCTGCTGATGCCTGTATATGCCCCTTTCCAGCTGTCTATGCTGTTTTCTCTGCTGACCTTCCTTCTGTGGCATCTGTACATTCAAATTCATTCTCTCCTACAAAACACAACTCAAATTATTTCTCCTTCATGAAGCTGACTTTGGTCCATCCTGCTCTGACCAAACCAAAAGTAATGTTTCTCTTTTGACTTAACATCTCTTTTAGGTGAAGCAGCAGGATGGGAAAGGAACACTGAGTTTGGAGACAGATACGCATATGGTTTCACTTCGCTCAACTCTAAAATATGGTTAGACAGTACATATCTTTTGGATGGTTGCTATGAAAAATAAATTAAAATGATGCATGTATATACAAAAAATGCCTAGACAGAGTAGGGAAATATCAAATAATTGTCTGAACACTTACTGCTTCCTGCCTTGTACTAGAGCTATTTACCAACTCCACAATATCCGAGGACCAGTTACTTTGTCTTGGGCACAGGTTCTCCAAAACAGGGAATGAATTGTTAGGCAAGTAGATGCCAAATGTTGAAATCAGATCGATAACTCTCCCTCCTTCCATCTTATTTATATGTTAATTTCATTGGTAATTTTTCATACGGCAAAGAAATTTAGCCAATCCCCCATATCTTGATTATTTTAAAAACTGAGATTGTAGCATTTGAATTAATGTTACTGTGCTTTCTGTGTCTTGTGATCAATTCCAGTTTGAGTTATCTTCAAAACAAGGATAAATTATTGAACACTTTTGCATGACCGATACTATGCTAAATACTTTATACTTTATAGATCTTTTCATTTAGTCATCATAGCCACTGTGTGAAATAGGTGCTCTTCATATTTTAGAGATAGGAAAAGCTTCTCATATTTTATAGATATGAAATGAGTTCATGGTTACATAGCTAAGAAGTAATATTTTTATAAACTTGATTTTTTTTCTCCTTCAAAGTCTAGTACAGTCTTTAAAACCTTTGGTTTCACATGACCGAAAAGTAGTTCCATTTCTATATAGTCTTAGGATATGATATCGATATTTTTCATCTTTAGAGAAGTCCCTGCACTGAAAAACTGAAACCAGTTGCATGTAAGCACACATGGTTCCCAGTGTCTTAATGTGTGAACTAGACCATCTGTGTAATATTCTTGCTTGTCGTCTTATGAATGGAAGCCTATTTGAGTTAATAATGTGTCACCTTGAGTGTCTTCTAGTATTTTCAAAAATTGCTCGAGTTTGGAATAGACTCATACTGAATTCTATGCTTCTGTAGAGTCCATGGTGGTCTGAACATGTTGGCTAGAGTTTTTCAGGTGATAAGAAAAAGGAAATGGACCAGACTTGTGTCTAGTTTCATATTCTCTTCAAACTTCATAATGCTTCATTTAATGGGACTTTTTCTTTTTTTTTAGATGGAGTTTCACTCTGTCACCCAGGCTGGAGTGCAATGGCATGGTCTTGGCTCACTGCAACCTCTGCCTCCTGGGTAAAAGCAATTGTCCTGCCTCAGCCTCCTGAGTAGCTGGGACTACAGGCATGCACCACCACACTCAGCTAATTTTTGTATTTTTAGTAGAGACTGGGTTTCACTATGTTGGCCAGGCTGGTCTCGAACTCCTGATCTTGTGATCTGCACACCTCAGCCTCCCAAAGTGCTGGGATTACAGGCATGAGCCACGGTGCCTGGCCTTTTTTTACTTCTGAAATTGTTAAGTGATGATCTAATTTTATTGTAATCTTTTTCTTTTTTCTTTCTTTCGAGATGGAGTCTTGCTCTGTGGCCCAGGCCAGAGTGCAGTGGCACCATCTCAGCTCAGTATTACCTCCACCTTCCGGGTTCAAGTGATTCTCTTGCCTCAGCTTCCCTAGTAGCTGGGACTACAGGCACGTGCATCCACACCTGGCCAACTTTTGTAATTTTTTAGTATAGATGGGGTTTCATCCTGACGGCCAGGCTGGTTTCAAACTCTTGGCCTCACATGATCCACCCGCCTCGGCCTCCCAAAGTGCTGGGATTACAGGTGTGAGCCCCCTGCCTGGCTACTGTAATCTTTTAGAGCAGGTTGAAATACCTTAAATCTTTAAATTAGTTGGCTCAGTAGACCCTGGTAAACAGTGGCTTTTGTGTTTCAGGCTGCAGTGTCTGGGTCAGTGCAAGCTTCAGATAGACTTACAGAAGAGCTCAGGGACATATAGAGATCACAGAGTTATAAGACAGGGAAGGATCTCTAAATCCCTGCTCTGATTGTTCTTTTGTTCTTTTCTGTTGTCAGATTATAAATGTCATTTCTTAAAACTGGACAGAAATGGAAATGTTTATTAGCTTTATTTTGTGAAACTCAAACACAATCAAGTTCCAAAAGATGTAGGGGGTAAGATAGGATAAGTTTGCTTATTTTTGGATTTAAAGCAATTGTTTTTATAAGCCCATTGGAATATTTTGTCATCTTCCTGATAGAGTGAACATTTATATGATTTTTATCTTCTGGCAAAAAGCTCGAGCAATATGGCTTGATAAGTAAATAAAAGTAATACATTTCATTATACAGGGAATGATTGCCAAGTTGATTCTTGTGATTTTTTTCCCCCAAGTTTGAAAGCAACATAATCAACTCTTATTGTGGAGGTAGTTATGTTATTACTTTTGAAATATATAGATAGAATACACCTGTAGTCCCAGCTATGAGGGGTTGTGGGAGGCTGAGGTAGGAAGATCTTTTGAGCTAGGAGAAGTCAAGGCTGCAATGAACTGTGATTGCACCATCATATTCCAGCCTGGGTGGCACTATTATATTCCAGCTGTCTCATAAAACAAAAAAAAGAGGGGAGTGGGGGTTGGGATACATATTGGATATGTGTATATAGGACAGTTGTAGAAAAATACCGATTCTTTAGTGATTTAACTTTTGACAGTTCTTGGCCGGGCGCGGTGGCTCATGCCTGTAATCCCAGCACTTTGAGAGGCCAAGGCGGGCGGGTCACGAAGTCAGGAGATCGAGACCATCCTGGCTAACATGGTGAAACCCCGTCTCTACTAACATGCCTGTAATCCCAGCACTTTGGAGAGGCTGTGGTCAAGGTCAGGAGATCGAGACCATCCTGGCTAACATGGTGAAACCCCGTCTCTACTAAAAATACAAAAAAAAAAAAAAAAGAAAAAATTAGCTGGGCGTGGTGGCAGTCGCCTGTAGTCCCAACTACTCCGGAGGCTGAGGTGGGAGAATGGCATGAACCTGGGAAGTGGAGCTTGCAGTGAGCTGAGATCGCAACACTGGTGACAGGAGTGAGACTCTGTCTCAAAAAAAAAAAAAAAAAAAAGCTTTTGACAGTTCTGTCCATGGCAAATTTTTCTCCTTAAACACACTGGCTAATAACACAAGTTTAGGAAAACATAGCAAACTTTTTTTTTTGAATTCTTGAGAAAATTATATACATGTGACTGTTTTCCTTTAGAATGACTACAAACTCTGAACCCCCTTATTAGATTAGATTTAGGCTACTATGATCTTTTTGGGACACTTATCCTAAAGGAGCTGGAAGCTATAGTGGCCTCTATTCTTCCTGGGGATATAGAGCAGCTGAAGATCTCCTCTTTCTGGAACTTACCCTGGGTGCTCTATTTTAGCTTTCAGATTGGTTCATTTTTGACTTAGTAAAAATAATAATAATCTTTTTGTTTGAATTGTTTTTTTGTTTTGTAATTCTCAAGGTTGACCCTGATAGTCCCTTGCACAGTGATCTTCAGACTTAAAAGAAAAAGAAGGGATAGGAGACATTTTGCTTATCTTTTAAGGTAAGAAAATTGTTATGAGACTCTATATCCTTCTAATGGGTGTATATTTCTACAAGTGTTTGGAAAACAGTTTGGTAAAGTGGAAGAAACTCATACCCTATGGTTCAGGAATCTCATGGATATATACTCCACAAGAACGAGTACGTAGGTGCCGGGAGACACAGGAATGTTCAGAGCAGCATTGTTTATAATAGCCCCAAACAGAAAATAACCCAAATGTTCATTCCAGTAAAATGGAGAATTGTGGTATTCATAAAATGGCTTACAGCTATGTGGGACGAGATGGGCGAATCTTGAACATTATATTAAGCAAAAGAGACCAGACCCCCAAAACCTATTTTGTACAATTCCCTCTATATAGAGTTCAAAAATAGGCAAAACTCATGTTGGTTAGGGCATACATTCTTAGTGGAGGTAATATCTCCTGCAGTGGAGTGAAAATTGGTCCTTAGAGTGGAAGAAAATCTTACCTATTATCATGGTCTGCTGCCCTCCAAAGGGCCATAGAACGTAAATGAAAAGAGAACTGAGAAACACTTATTTATGGATTCATACTTGGGCAGTAAAACTGTCAAGAAAAAAGAGGTGATTACACACAGAGTACGTTAAGGAGTCCATCTAGGTGGGAGGTAGGCAGGTGTGA